TGGTACATGTATCCGTAAAGTACCGTTGATCCGCCCCCACGCCATGTCGCTTCCCAGCTGGGTTTTCGGCAGGGGGCGGGAATTAGATCAAGGCTGTCAAGTGCAGTACGATGTACAACAACGTAGAGGATCAGACTCAATGTGCTGGATTGTGCACATTTTGATCCTGGATTGGCAAGTATTGTGTACAGCAGTGCATGCGTCGGTTCAACATCGTATTTCGTTGTATACGCCAAAGTCGCTTCACAAGGAGAAAATCGACAGGGGGCGGGAATTAGAGAGGGGGCGGATCAACGGTACTTTACGGTATGTGGATAAAGAAATGGAGCAGAATTCGAGGAATTGCCCAGTTCTGCCAATTTCACTGCTTTTTGAGCATTATTCGCCAATGCCTATACTGTAGCGCACACAACCCTGCGCTCAGAGCTGTTACATTCCTGCGAGGTTTCCCTCGCTGAACTGAGAAACTGGGCTTTCGACTTTCGCACACACCTGGTGTGTTTTCGAAGCAAGGCATGAGAAGGCTGGACAGCCCGCCGCATAGCCCAAGGCTCTGCTGCCCTCACTCCTGAAGGCTAGAAAGAAGGAACAGGCAGGTGCCGAAGATTCAGGAGTTTAGCTCAGCGGCGGCCTCGCTTCTGATGAACTGATTCCACTTGAACAGATACATGTATATCTTCTTCTTGGATGTCTTCAAATTTTGCGTTGGTGTCGGAAAAGGAATTGAAAGCGGAATTTGATGAAACATTCTCGACATATGCCGAGAGACGTAAACACGCTGGAAAGCCGATCGAATTGAAGAACCTGTGTCGTAAAGCAGGTCCGAGTACGAGTGTTGACGCCGTTCCCCATTCAACAGGAAAATCTGCAGCAGCAGTACATGTAGTAGCAGCAGCTACATGGACGGAGTCGAGAAAGCTGTATGCAAGGACAGGTGTTACGGAATGTTATGTTACATCGTACTGGCCCGGCCACGGATCTGCTGGTAGTGGCAAGACCACAGTGTTTCTGCTCATGGTTATACCTGTGGAGCAGGGGCGAACTGTTGCAGGCGAAATTCGATCTGGTCGTGGGACTGGAGCTTCGTGAAGACGAAGTGAGAGCTGCCACTAGTCTTGCTGAGCTCTTGGCTGTGAAATTGGCGAGCCAGGGCCTGTCGCAGGATGAGATATTGGAGCTTTGAGGATATTTCGAAAACGCTCCATGCCGTCTATGCCGTCTATGTCTCGTCATGGAGGACTAGTTTGATTTCGCCAGCTGCCAGGGCCTGTCGCAGGATGAGATACTGGAGCTTGGAGGGTACAGTAAAGCCTGTGACTACCGACCACCCATTGGTGCCGGCAAAAGCGGTCTTTAGTAGCAGGTGGTCTTTAGTTAGAGGTTTGCACCGCGCGACCATATATGCATCCCATTATAATAATGATATGTATATCAAAATGCAGCTAATACAATTCCCCAAGACTTGCGCGTTGCCATTCTTATTTCAGGTCAAACAACACTTGGAGAGAAAAATGGAGAGATGGAGGGAGACACAGATAGAGAGAGAAGATGTTTTTGCGGACATCAAATTCGGCTCCTACTTCTGAAGCCAGGAGTCAAACGTTCCCTGTGGAAGTTTCGTTTTGCGCTGGGCTTCAAATTTGTTCATGCGATCAATCGTACCGACTGTCCTTGTTGCGACTTCTCGATTGCTTGAACGCAATCCTTCAGGATCAGGACCTTGTGGTGCTGCTTTGTTTATGGATTCCTTGATGCCATCGTCGATTCGTCTGTATGACTGGGGTGACAGAGCCGCTCAGTCTTCCTTTCTCCTCCGAGTAGCAACATCGATCAGAGAGCGCTTTCGATGCGCTCTCCAAGACGTTTCCTATCATGTTTATTCTTGACAGCGCTTTGATTGATTGATTGATTGATTTTTATTCCACGGATCCTCCATAGGCAAATAGATGCCTATCGAAGGGAGTTTCCTAAGTAAGTATGGAAAATGAGAAAGTATGTTCGTAAGGGAGAAGAGGTAGAAGGTACATTAGAATATAGAGTACAAAAGAAGTAAATTCAGTGCTTCGGGTAGTACATTGCATGCTAATCATAATGAGAATTAGAAAAGCAGCATTGCGGACTACTATAACTGACATATACACAAACTATTGAAACTATCATAGATGTGGTTAGCCTAGACACTAAAGTCAGGAACACCTATCAAAGAAAACATAGATTGCGAATGATACCGACGAACAGCAATACTAAATGTCGCTGTTGTAGAGAGTGAACGAATATCTTCAGGAAGTTTATTCCAGGCAACACTCAAAGAAAAAGGGTTGATTTACGAAAGTAGGTGCCAGCTTTAGGAAGAATTATGGATGAAGGGTGACGACTGCTTTGGGAAGAGGGTAGCTGGAAGTGAGACAACAAGGAGGGGTATTGGGAGAATACATGGTGGAAATAGACAAGGCCAAGAATCTGTCGTCGCCATGCTAAAGATTCCCAAGAGGACAGAACATTGAGGTCTTCTTTGGAAGTCGTCCAGTCAGGCCGATGCTTGAGTTTACTATTTAAGTATGCTCTAGCAGCAGTAGCCTGCAGTTTATCAAGGGTTGTGGACATGGTGGCTGAAACGGAAAACATCCAAACGGGAACAGCATATTCAAGGAGGGGACGAACATAACATTTATACAAAAGATTGTTGTTGTTGTTGTGTTTATTTTAGTTCGCAAACCAAACGGGCAGATCTGCCCAATGAAAAGGTGGCGAATGCAGATAGAAAGCAGTAATAAATGAAAATTGGGGACTGATGTAATTAGGATAGAGGTGGAGAAAAACTCCCGTATTATCTCTAATATAAGGCTGCGTTTACACGACAACGATTGAAAACGGGAACAGCATAGGCATGGCGAGATCACGATAATCTGCATCCGACGACGGTGTAGCTTGACTATTCTTGTCGAACTGTTTACAGAAGATGTTCGCTTTCTCAGGGTCGGTAACCGCTAAGGTATCGACTCCTTGAATATCAGGTATAGGGGTGTGAGGACAATTGATGTGGCACATTTTCTTGACTCTCTTCCACCAGTCATAAGATCCTCGATCTGCATGAAGGCCTTCTGACATCTGGTCGTAGAAGTGACGTTTAGCTTTACGGATGGCAGCGACGAGGCAGTTCCTTGAAATGCGATAAGCAGCCCAGCACTCAGGGGTATTGACGCGTTTTGTTGCAGCAAATAGTCGATCTCGACGTTGACGGAGGCGATGGTGCACAGAGGTGAACCAAGGCTTTCCATAACAATTTGTTCGTTTTCTAACCTTCGAACAAAAGACGATATGGCTGTGTCAACTAGTGTTCGCCAGGAGACCCATGCTTCATCTGTACTACTGGCTTCTTGTACAGCAGCGAGAAGAGGGAGGCTCCAAAGGTGGTTATTAAGTGCGGGCCAGTCTGTGGCCGCATAGCTGTTCACGAGCAAATCAGAGTGCACTGGTTGCTGGGAACGAGTCTGTATTGCGAGATCAAATACCACAGGACAGTGATCAGAGACAGGGTGGGAGTGTGGTGAGGTTGTGGATGAGGAATGGTTGGTTACAGAGAACAAGGTCCAGGAGAGAAGAGCTCTGACCTGAGGCGGAGAAACGTGTTGGGCGGTCGCGTACAAGTTGTGCAAAACCAGTATCATCCAGCAGTTCGACAAGGCATCTTCCAGCAGAAGTGTTCGGCCAGACGAAACTGAAGTAACGTCTTTTGCATAGCTACGGGAATAACTTTTTTTAACAGAGAGGAAAACAATGCTTGGTTCTCCATCCGAGAATAATAATAATGATAAATACAATAAGGAGTATAATCGATGCAGACATGGCCAGACAACAACGAGTTCATGGAATTTTTAAGGATTTTTATGTTATTCAAAATCGATTTTCGTGTTCCGCTCATCAGTGAATAGTATCGGAACTGAGGGTACTGTGTACAACAATAGAACATTTTATAACAGCATAATTAATTAAAAGTGTGAACAACAAAGGAAGTGCTACAGCATTACATAATAGGTGTCAAACATAGTGCTAACGTATATAACTGAGTGCAGCCACAAAGCAAGAGGTGATACAGTGCAACATGACACAACATTTACATCTGATAACCAGCTACGAGAACAACTTTAGCGCGACTACATGCTTCTTTTGTTTACAAAGAACAGGATTATGCACACGAATACATACAGCTTCCAGAACCTTCAACTGCTTAACATAACTTGCACGGCACAAAACAGAAAAGTGAGAATCATCGTACACACCAAGACAATCTGGACGTGATAACAAGTGACAAAATACAGCTGACTTTTTGCTCACGTCGCTCTCTTCCGTCTCATCCCGCTCCTTTCCTTCGACCTCCTCCGCCTTATCCTCGTCCTCCATCTCATCTTCATCATCATCGTCCTCATCACCACCATCACCATCATCAGTCACTTCCTCATCATCCGTTTGATGTTCAGTCTCACTGCACTCCTTATCAGCCTCCAACATGGCTCCATCATCTCCACCAGCATCACAAGTCGTTTGACCGCTGCTCCGCGTCACCGTTGCTGGGTTCTCTGCTACTGCACACCCATTTCCACTATCCATTTTGCGTGGGCCAAGTCCATTCCGTGCATAAATTTCAAGTGAATAGTTTGCTGTGCTTCTTCTGGGTCTATGGGTGAGGATATTGGTTTCATTTTGGTTTGTCGATGATCTCCCTCTCTGTCCAGACACAGTCGGCACCGTGGATCCCAGCACCGTCACCGTCTCGGTAGTCACCAAAGGTAAAGGGGGTGGCTCAGGCGGAGGCAAGGGCAACTGCCGAGGTGAAGGTTCAGTGTCTCTCGGTGGCCCCTCCTCCATTCCAGGACGATGGAATAACATAAAAATCCTTAAAAATTCCATGAACTCGTTGTTGTCTGGCCATGTCTGCATCGATTATACTCCTAATTGCACTAATAAAATTGCTTTCTCCACGCCGACTCTATAAATACAATAACTCCTGGAGTGACAGGTGACAGAAGCGGTATTGCCGAGCGTCCGTAGACATTGTGCCCTGGCATGTTTGCAGAAGACCTAAGTTCATTGCATTCTTGCTCAAGGGAGAGCTGATGGACGTTTTGAACACCATCTTTTTCAGCACCATGTGAAACGCAAAACGCCCCAGTTCCTGTAGCGATTTCACGAATTTTCTCGGTGCCAGTGAAAACGACTTGAGACATAGGCTGTGTTTACATGAGGCGCTTCAACCCGGGTCAGATTTCAACCCGCCATGCACACAAAATGAATGGCACGTTTACATGACGCATTGCGCTTGACCCGTGTCAAAGATATCGTACTATGTACTTCTGTGCGTATCTCGCGCCAGGTTTGAACTACATATAGGGAGTAGTACTACTCCCTGGTTTGAACAGCACTGCACATGCAAATTTCGCGCAAGAGGATTCACGTGACCATACAGGACTCTAGAAGTGGAAGTTTGGCGGCATATCAGTATTTGACCCGGGTCAACTGTCTTCATGTAAACGCTCACCTCTTTTGTCTATCGTACAGACTTTCAACCCGGGTTGAACTCGACCCGGGTTGAAATTTCTCATGTAAACACAGCCATAGGCAGACGGAACGAATTACAATCTTGGTCTGCAGTTTGGGAAGGCTCAGCCACAGGCACAGCCCTAGACCATTGCAAACACATGGTGCGGGTCAGGGACGTCACGCAATACACTGGGGATGGTGATGCGTTGGGAATCGTTCAATTTCAAGAAAGTCGAGGTCATGAGGGTGATTCAACTGATAGGAATTGGCCGTGGCATCCGCAAACGCCTTCCACAGAATCACACTTATCGCACTCTGATCGTAGCGATGGCATCCTATAAACTTGCCCGCAGCTCGTAGGCTGAAGTCACAGTTGAATCTAGTCGAGCCCCGTGGTGCCATACACTGCTCTGAGATAGCGCAGGCCAGCCACTGTCTCATCAGCTGATCGCGCACCGTTTCCTTGTGGTCAATCCATATCTGGACACCACCAATTGTGATTGCTGTCCGCGCCACCTCGGGCCTGTTGACACCAAGCGACTGTAGGGTGACATCATGCGTGAAGGCACCAGTTGGTGAGGTGCCCTCCGGTCCAAAACCGACAAAACCCGGCCCTTTCTGGAGTAAATCAACACTGATGATGCTTTTCTTGAAGCGTATTGATGCGTCAGCGTACAACACACCGCCAAACTCCTGCATAACGCTGTTAAGCATGACCGGTTTCCAGCGCATGTCATAGAGATCGCGACGCCCTGCTCCGTACACATCCCACGGCATTTGCCGGACGCTGACGTTGCAAAACGACGTCAATCGCTTCACATGGGATTCTGTGAGTCCCAGATCGTACACAAAAATCCCACGATCGCTCATCACGTCGACAACGGAGAAAATCATGTCACTAGCTTCATCGGCATGGTTACTGCTTATCGCCGTGACAACAGGGAAATGCGACATGATCGGATCCGCCATATCACGTTTTCTCTTGGTAAAAACACGGGGAAGTGGTCGTGACATGTCATAATGTAGCGTGTTGTGCAAATAGTCCTTCATCTTTTCATCTGTGATTCCGTGGTCCGTTGTGTCACTCGTCAAGTCGAATACGTTGTCGTTGACGACGATCTGAGACGAGATGAACCCACTGAAGGGCTGTATTGTGTCATGGAAGTCGCGACGCAAAGCAATGTTTGTATGGTCAACAACACCACCAATGTACATGCCAGAGTCAACCTCTATCCCAGCTGAGTGGCTGGCCATTCCACTACTCGAGTAGAGCCGCTTCAACGTAAACTTCAGCTCGTCTGTTTGTACCGGATTGTCGGATACGGTGTTATTGGTCACCATGGCAACCACTCTTCCTGGCGTCATAGTAACGTACAGTGAAAACCAGGAGCCAGGAGGACTGGGTCCGAGGGAATCCTCACAGACAACGGTCGGTCTTGCCGCTTGCGATACTTTGACATGCACGCAAATGTCCTCTTTGCTGATGGTAACAGCGACATACTGCCGCTGCTTGGGGTGAAACAAACCCGACAAAACTTGAGCATAGAATAGCAGGGACCTTGACGGCGTTGACGCTGATGATACGGATGGTGACGCACTGGGAGTCTTGAACGTCAAGGCGAATCTGTTCAGAGCCACTCTGTGGAATGGCTTTCCCACTCTATACCACGCAGCACCGCTGGTCTGCAGTGCAGGGACCTTATCTGGTGCTGACTTTCCGCTCACCTTTCCAACACCATAGGAATTTGAATGTGAGAGAATGTCTGACACGTCATGTACGCGTATGAAGCCAGACTGGGCTGATCGTAGCTGAGTGGTGCTAACAGTTATGATTGCTCTTTGTCGTGGTTGTGAATCTACGACCAGCCCTCGCAAGTTGATGCCCGCCTTGCTGATATATCCCCAAAGAACAGCGGCTGTCAAGACCAGGAGAATGAATGGAGTGAATTGCCTGCGACGAATCCGAAGCCCCTCCGACATACCTTGGCCACTGCCGCGACAGGATACTAACAGGGCAGGATAATACTAGCAGGACAGGGAGTGATGCGACGGAGTGACGATCGGCACCACGGAGCAACCCTGCTCTTGCTCGGGCTGTCGGCGATCAAAATGTTGGTTTCTATGCCACGATTACAATACAAGGGAGTCGTCATAAGTACTGGAGGGCACCATGCCATAATGTATCTATCGCTTTCAGCCTAACATTACTGAATACACTAACCTGAAAGAATCAAAACTAATTTTAGTAAACGAGAAAATCAACCGCGCGCGCGTGTGATCAACACTTGATTGAAATAAAAGGAAAGAAAACAAAAACTGAGATCGCCACTTTCGAACACCAGAACACGCGCGCGAAAACTCCACTGTCTGTAGCAGTCCATCCTCAAGCGTTCCATCGAGACTTACACTGATTTTTGCGATCTTTTTCTTGAGAACGATTCTCACCCTGAAATGGCTTTCGGCGACTGACGTGAAAGAACACTCATGACACCCACCTCGTCGAATGGAGCATGCATTGTTTGTGGTGTATGGGTGCAGGAAGGTGGTATGTTCGCGAGGTGCATATCGAAAATGATCCGAAAGACTTTGTGATGGTGCCATTCGGCGGAGAACATTTGAATTTTTCGTACGATTCAGAGCAGTCGGCGAAAACGAGCCAGTAACCTGAAAGGAGGGCGTGAACAGGTGTAATTTTCGACAATGTGGTTGCCCTCGACCCTGCTCTCGGACATTCGAGTAATGGTTATGGCAAAATCGATGGTGCTCCAGGTTTTTCAGACGCATTTCTTGACCATACTCAATTCCGTAGATATACCTGTACACAGAAAGCACACAAGAGTTCAAACTAACTCCACTGTATTCAGTTCACGTGTTTTCCACAGATTCAAAACCCTCCTGGGACCAGGAAAGTGGACAATACGCTGGAGTATAGACGTGCACACTGCGAACACGCCCACGCGCCACTCCTGCACACCCGTGTCGGACATCACATACGGGCCATGTCACGGTGCCGCAGACGTAATGGGCGTGCCCCACACGTTTGCGTTACACACGTTTAGATCCTACATGCACACGTGGAGCACAAACATGTCAAACATGCGTGCCGCGGATGCACACACATTGTTCGTACATGCCGGATACACTTCGCATACATCACATGCGTGTGCCACACCGTCGGAGGAATACAAACGAGCACGGATACGCACACATGAGAGTACCTCACCAACAAAGCCTAGCCAGGTTCGCACTCGGTTTCCCTATCAACAAGCATTTCTGGCTAGAACAGTGCAGTAGCAATAGCCGAAACAGAGAGAACGCAACACGGGTGGCCGAGCAAGTGACAAACAGCATAAACAAGACAAACGTACTTTGTACATTCACATACAGTCAACTTCTCTAATAACCACTGCGTATATAACGACAATTCGCAAATATGACAGAATTTCCATGCCCAGAGCAAAGTGACACACAGCATAAACAAGACAAACGTACGTTGTACATTCACACACTTTTAAAAGTTTGTATACATGTATGTGATTGTATTGATATGCTTTGGTTTTCTTTCCTCAAAGGAGAAGTGACGCGTGCATGGTATATGCATAGACCGTTGAAGTTCGTGTGAATGCATCAGACGCACACATGTACAGGACACTTTGCATTTTTCAAACTGAAACCGTATACATAAGCATGCGTGCGCGTGTGTATGTGTGTGTGTGTTTGTTTGTGTGCGGGGGGGGGGGTACGTGTACGTGTGAAGAGCAAAAACCAGTACTGATAAATTGATAATGCAGGCCAAGCAGAGAGGATCGCAAAGCAGACAATCACCTCTACATTGTAATCTCCTACAAATAACACATACATATACATGTAGCTTCATAAGCAGAAAACGAGATACTGTGAGCGCGACAGACACACACACACACACACACACACACACACACACACACACACACACACACACACACACACACACACACACACACACACACACACACACGCGCGCGCGCGCACACACAAACACACACCCCCACAGACTAGGGTCCGGCGGATTCTGCCGGCAGAAAATTGGCAGAATTCGGTACTTTTTCTGGTAAGTTTCATGCATGTTTGGTATGTGGATAAAGAAATGGAGCAGAATTCGAATAATTGCCCGCCATAAGGTTTGTATGGTTCTGCCAATTTCACTGCTTTTCGAGCAGAATCTGCCACCTTTTCGAGCAGAATCCACCGTTCCCTACCACAGACACACACCACAAGACCATAAATCTGAAACGGCATGCATTTTGACACACGCACGCACACATGCACACACACACACACACACAGTCACACACACACACACACGCACCACGAGACCATACATCTGAAACGGCATGCGTTTCGACAGGCTTTAGACCACGAGTTAGGTGATCCACATCAAGGCAATACGCACCACCAGCCCAGCTACATGTACCGATAATTATCTCATACTAGACAGCAACTGAACGCGGCACACATACTACACACAAGAGCGCGTACAGCGGCGACTTTCTCCTTATGCTTACGGTTGTCGAATACAGCATTGACGACACACCGAGACACACAGAGGAACACAAACTAGGGTCTACAATGTACACACATACAGTACATGTGCATGCACAATGTACATGTATACACAGCTGTATGCGTTTGCGTGTTTTCATGCTCCCTTCAAAGGTTTATGTACATGTACATGTATACGGCATGTATGATTTATGTTGCTTGAGTACGCCCACTTTGAAGGTCGAAGTTGGATTACACAGGGCGTGAACAGGTGAGATTTTTATGTCTAGCTGTTAATTACCCTTACCTTAGCCCACCAAGGAAATCGGAATAATCAAACTCGATGGTGCTCCAACTTCATTTCGACGTAGAAAATTCGCTGTTTGAACATCTCAATTTCAAAGGGTAACCACTGATTTCGATGTGAAAAACGTTTCCTGATCGCCATAAAAAAATTCCTGCCGACACACACCATAACAAGCTCCAAGTTCACAAACAGTGGCCACAAACGGTTGCTCGTCATGAAGGTGGTTCGACACTTTCGACCAAATTCGTTCACTTCCGTATTCAGTTGACAATTATTTTTTGCCGTCATCAAGACTTATTTGGGCCCAAAAGCGCAAAAATCAGTGTAAGTCTCGATTACAGTCTGTTTCAAAAAGATTAGCAATCAAGTTTAGGTCTTAAAAAGTATGAAGATAAGGGAAATCTGGACAACAAAGTACATAAAACGGCTTGTTAGGGCACGGCAAATTGTTCTGTGAAGGTTTCGGAACAATTGGACCAACCGTTAAGGAGTTAGTATTTCGGCCAGGTTTCTGGCCTTTTCCCATGGTTTATAATTTGCCCTGGAAGCCAGTATCGATTTGTTATCAAAACCCACGATTTATCCCTTCCTTTTTGGCCTAGTGGTTATGAATGCTGTCTGCTGACCATGAAGTTGTGAGTTCAAATCCCAACAAATCTTCAAGTCAAACATTTTTTCTTCAATTTTTTCATTGTATTGGTGAAGGTGGCTGCGCCAAGCGACTTGTTGTTGGAGCTCGCGTTTTCTGCCGAACTGACTGACACTTGAATGACTGGCTCACGCCATGTGAAGTTGTGAACACACACAACACTGAAACCGTGTGAGTGAACACGGAAGTCATTGCGCTGTAGCTACGTGTTGTTGAATAAACCGGCACATCGCGATCGATCGATTTCTGTTTGAGAATATTTTAGTATTTGAAGATCGCCAATTTATTTGAATTTAGGAGTCAACGCCGTCTTCTATCAGCTTTCACAGGCGTCTGCTTTCTCAAAATGTCGTCGAAGTCACACGGATAACTTTGCCACTTCAAGGCCTTGGGAATGAGTCTGTGTCGATGCCGTTTTCGTCACATCGTGAGAGTAAATTGCATCCGCGGCAGCTCAAAGAATCTATTTGGTCACAAAACGGACGCATCCCGCTCGTCAAAATTTACCACACTTTCGACATGTCCTCTCTGACTCCACATCGATGCGAGGAAGATCGTCAGTGAGTTGTCATTTTTCATGCTTTCGCGCGGAATATTTCTTCGAGTTCACAGTAAGTTTTTCCAGGCAGCGCTCGAGCGCTCATACGGTAAGACGGCAAACTCCCCGGGCGATCACCAGGATTGCTAATCTTTTTGAAACTGACTATAGTGGCAGAGATATGTTTTTTGCACGCTTGAGGATGGACTGTAGTGACAGTCACCGATGCACCTGGTACATGTACATGCCCGGCCCAGCCCGGGTAACATGGTCACGTCACCTCGGCCTCGCAAATCCCGTAGATTTCACGCGTCCAGTGTCACTGTCAGGGTTGTCACGGACGACGCGTCTACGGGCTTTGGACGCTGCAACCAGGGAGTCGTAAAAATTTCACCAGTTGTACGAGGTGATTTAGGCCTTGACGGATTATGCTAATATTTTCGTGAAATTATGCTTTTCGCATTGCTGAAAAAATTGCAGAATTATGCTATTTTTATGCTAAAAGTTATCATATTATGCCGCATTATGCTCACATATGCTGCTAATGCATAATGGTTCTGTGCAAAATAACAGGGGAATTTTTTTGTAGAGGGCGTTGTACTGTAGTAGCAAAAGTTCAACGGGGTCAACGCACCGTCCGACCTAGCTACGACCATCACTGATTGTAGTGGACTGGACATGTTATCAAGGGAGTCGTAAACCTACAACTTCCTAGTGCATCTACTTGTACTCGTACTTGTAGAACATGTACAACTGTATGGAATTTGATGCGAACAGGCGGATTATTACAATTTTATGCGATCCGTATGCAGTTTGCCTCGAATTATGCGATTATTCGATTTTGGTAGGAATTATGCGAAAAATTATGCTAGCATAATCCGTCAAGGCCTAAGGCTGAGGTGATTTGGCTTTTTTTAACATTTGGCATTTTTAAACAAATGTGTAAAATTTGCTTTTCTTCTGGCTGTTTCTCTGCTCCGGATGGCTGTATCGAAACATGGGTGGTAGCAAATGAGAGCCAGTTTATCGTAGATCAACATTGACCAGAAAATTTGGTGCATATAATTTAATTCTCCCTGCCACGTTGGTAAACTACTGGTGGGTGCTTTGCCATTTTGTGTAAAATGTGTAAAATGAGCCCCTGAATGGATGAGGAGGGCAGTGAATTGCTTCCGCAGGGCCTTTGGACGACGTCAGGCCGTCTTGCCATCACTAGAGACAGTAATGAAGAACAGTAGGTCACGGAATACACTCTG